CCGAGATTGGAGCTTAAACGCTTTAATTGGGACCCAATGAAGTGGTTAGAGTTCTGGGAGAATTTCGAAAGAAATGTCCATGACAATCCAGGCTACTCGGATGTACACAAAATGTCATACTTGAAGGCATGTTTAGATGGGCCAGCGAGCACGACGATCGCCAATTTGTCAATAATTGGGGACAATTACAAACCAGCAATAGCAATCCTCAAAGAAAAATATGGACAGACAGGATTGTTGAAGGAAGCCCATATGGCAGCTTTAAAGGCGACACAAGGAGTTTCAAATGCAAGAGATGTGAACAAATTGAGGAAATTTATGATGATGTAGACTCACACTACAAGGCGCTGTCGGTATTAGGAGTTCCAGGAGAGCACTACTCGGTAGTTGTTGTCCCAGAGTTGATGGGTAAAGTACCAAGAGATGTAGCAATCAACATACGTCGATCAAAGGATGTTAATCATGAGTGGATGATAGGAGAGTTTCTTGATAAGTTGTGGCAAGAATTGGTGATAAGAAGTGCGAGTGAGTCACAAGACCAACCAGTAATCGAAGGGAGAAGAGAGGGCAGAGTACTTTCAGTCAACAGTACCTCTTGTGTTTACTGTCTTGGAGAACATCAAAGTAGAGAGTGCAGCCAAGTCAAGGATCCTGATAAAAGAAAGGACATTTTGCGTAAATACAACAGATGTTTTCAGTGTCTTAGGAAAGGACATCCTCAAAGACAGTGCAGAGATAAAAGGCAGTGTGACAAGTGCAAGAAAACAGGGCACCACACATCGATATGCAGAGGAGAAACAACCCCAAATTTGCATGTTGCCACTAAAGGAGCTATTGCGTATCAGACGGTGCAGGCAAAGATTAACATACCAGGGTATGACTCAGTTCCATGTCGCATGCTGCTAGACACAGGTAGTGACAAAACGTATTTGGTGCAGAAGATTGCTGACAAATTGAAAGGTAAACCCATTCGACATGAAACAAAGGTTCTTGATACTATTCATGGAAGCAGAAGCCACAGGTGTGCTGTTTATAATTTAGAGATCAGGAATATGGAAGGAGAAGTTCAGCTCATTACAGAGGCCGCAACGCTAAGCAAACTGACAACTGTGAGGAACGCCAGACCTGAAATTGTACAGCAAAGATTTAAGCACTTGAAAGACATCAAATTCTCAGATGTGTCGGAGCACGACGAATTGGAAATTCACGTCATAATTGGTCTTGAAGATTTGGGTAGAGTAAAGACAGGACGTTATATACGGGGGGAGGAAGATCAGCCTATTGCCGAGGAAACCAAATTAGGATGGACTTTGTTAGGACCAACTTATCAAGGAACAAAAACTGATGATCAAGAAAGTAAATTGTTGTTTTGTATGGAGAACAGGCCAGAGATAGCTACAGAAGTAGACAGGCTATGGGACTTAAAGACTGTCGGGATCCGAGAAGGTGATCCAGTGCACGTGGAGTTCAAAGATACAGTCAAGTTCAACGGTAGACGTTATGTAGTAAATCTACCTTGGAAGTCAGCAACAGCCAAAGCCTCATTACCAGACAACAAGAAGCTATGTGAAAAGCGGCTACGTTCTCAGCTGAAAAGATTATCTAGAGTCCCGGAGCAGTTAGAAGCTTATGATGGCATCATACAAGAGCAGATAAAGGCGGGAATTGTGGAAAAGGCTCCCAAGAAAGAAACAGGGGTAACAGCCACCCACTACATACCCGATCATGCTGTCATTCGACAAGAAGCAGAGTCAACAAAAGTGAGAATCGTGTTTGACGCGTCAGCAAAGGAGAGGAAAGGTAGCTATTCGCTAAATGAGTGTCTTCACAAAGGACCACCATTGATGCCTATGCTGTTTGACATTGTGCTTCGGTACAGAATGTACCCCGTTGCTCTGGTGGGTGATGTACAAAAAGCCTTTCACCAGATTGAAGTAGCAGTTGAAGACAGAGATTGCCTAAGGTTTTTGTGGGTTGAAGATCCAAAGAATGCAATTTCAGAGCTTTCTGAGTTGAGGTTCACTCGGGTTATCTTTGGAGCGGGTCCGAGTCCATTCTTGCTAAATGCGACGATGCAAAGGCACATTGGAGGCTATGAGGAGACAGATCCAGAGTTTGTCAGGTTGGTGGTTAAAAGTTTATTTGTGGATGATTTTGTTGGTGGCGGTAGAAACTCGACAGAAGTTATCACATTGAAAAAGAAACTCACCGATGTAATGCAAGAAGGTGGCTTCACTCTTCACAAGTGGAAGTCAAATATTGAGGAAGTGTGCAGCTCGCCAACGGTGGACAGTGAAGGCGATGAAGACGAAACATTTGCGAAGCAGAAACTTAATCTGGATGAGAGCCGAAGTAAAGTCCTTGGGATAAAGTGGAATCCAAGGAGTGATATAATGGCAGTGGAATTGTCACAGGTTGCAGAGGAAGCAGAAAGGGATCTACGCATGACCAAAAGGGAGTTGCTGAGCCGCTTGTCCAGAATCTATGACCCATTAGGAGTTGCGGGTCCGATCACCATTGTTGGTAGAAAGATCTTTCAAGATGCTTGCAAAGAAGGTATAACTAGGGACAGTTTGGTCAGTGAAGATCTGCATGGTAGATGGAAGACATTTGAAAGGAATTTCCCAAGATGTGTTGCATTGTCAGAGAAGCCAAAGGAGATGTCATTGCACACCTTCGCAGATGCAAGTCAAACAGCCTACTGCGCGGCCGTGTATTTGGTTGTGACGTTGCCGCAAGGAAAGTTCAGTAACCTGCTGACTGCTAAAACCAGGCTGCCTCCATTGAAGAAGGAAATGACAATTCCACGTTTGGAGTTGACAGCAGCACGGATTGCGGCAAGGTTGGCAGCGACAGTAAAACAAGCACTGGCAGGATTTGAGTTAAAACGGGTCTGCATGTGGTCGGATAGTTGCACGGTTCTCCATTGGCTGCAAAGACGAGGTCAGTATCGCCAATTTGTTGAACACAGAGTCAAGGAAATCGAACATCTGTCAAATGGTGCAACATGGCAGTATTGCCCAACAAGCGAAAATCCGGCGGACCTTGGCACAAGGGGCAAAACACCGCTACAATTACAAGGAAGTGACCTGTGGTGGCAGGGACCATCGTGGCTGATTTCTGATCAGTGGCCAGAACAGCCCATCTTGTCAAGGGAAACGGAAATCGAAGATGAAGAAATAAATCCAGTGTTACAGATGGCCACGACGATAAAAGAAAGGGGACTTTCAAGTTTGATAAGGTTGAAAGATTATAGCTCAAAGAGAGGATTACTTGGTGTAACTGCGTGGATTTTGCGTTTTATGAAGAACTGCAGGGCAAGCAAGGGAGATAGGCTCCAACTGAAATACGTTACAACGGACGAAGTAAAGGAAGCGGAAGAAAGGTGGGTGAAAGTAGTACAATCCGAAATTGAGGAGAGTGCAAATTACAAGCAGTTGGTGCAACAGCTGAACGTTGTAAAGATAGACGGAGTAATGAGATGCAAGGGAAGATTGCAGTTTTCTGGATTGTCGTTTGAAGTACAGAATCCAGCGTTGTTACCAAGAGGACACCATTATACCAATTTGGTAGTGAAAGAAGCACACGAACTTGTACTTCACGGATTGGTGAGTATGACGTTAGCCGAGGTCAGACAAAGATATTGGATTCCAAAGGGCAGGCAAGTAGTGAAGAAAGTGCTGAAAGAGTGCAAGCAATGCGCAAAGAGAAGTTCCAAGCTGCTAAAGGGAACAGTCACAGCTCCGTTACCGGAACTTCGGGTTAAACCAGCACGTCCATTTGAGGTAACTGGATGTGATTTTGCAGGTCCAATTCACTTGAAAGGCAATGAGAAGGCATACATCGCTCTTTTCACATGCGCGGTAACACGAGCTGTTCATTTGGAGCTTACAAAGGACATGACAGCTACTGAGTTTAGGGTGGTTCTGCAAAGATTTGTTAGTCGCAGAGGAGCACCTAGCACAGTCATTAGCGACAATGCAAAGACGTTTAAAAGCACAGGAAAACAGTTGAAGAAGATATGCGACAACGAAAATTGGCAAGGATATTTAACGACGAAGAGAATAGACTGGATATTCAACGTTTCCAAGGCACCGTGGCAAGGAGGATTCTTCGAAAGACTGGTTGGAATCTCGAAAACGACCTTGTACAAAGTCTTGGGACGTTCGAAGCTGAGTTTCAGAGAGGTTGAGACAATGCTCATACAGGTAGAAGGCTTGATGAACAACCGACCGCTGACCTACCAGACGGATGAGCTTGAAAGTGAACCTCTGACGCCTAATCACATGATTTTCGGATATGCTTTGCCAACCATCGCCAACGATGCAAACGATGCCAATGAAGAAATGAGTGACGATGAGGAGTCTTCTGCAAGGGTAAATAAGCGACTTAAGTACGTGTCGACAATAAAGGCTCATTTGTGGAAGAGATGGACTCGCGAGTACTTACAGGGACTGAAAGAGTACCAAAGACAAGCTGGTCGAAAATCGAGAGTGCCGGAAATCGGAGAAATCGTGCTTATCGTTGACAGCACCATCCAAAGAAGACATTGGCGAATGGCGAAGATAGTCGATCATATAAAGAGCAGAGATGGAATGATAAGAGCTGTTAAACTGCACGTTTTGAGCCAAGGAAAGTTGATAGAATTGGAAAGACCATTGCAAGGTATTGCGTCGTTAGAAATAAAAGCACCGGTTGCTGAGAGGAAATCTACACCAGATGGGGAAGACGTAGAAGAGAGGACCAAGAAAAGACCAAGAAGACTAGCTACGTTTGCCGGAGAAGAAACGAGAGAACTACAAACTCGGGTTTTGAATCAAGAAGATTAACTTCTTGATTGGGGGGAGTGTTTAAAATATTATAGCCATTTAACCATGAGGACTTGGGTCCGCATTTTATATTCACACTGTTTGTAGTTAGAACCGCAGGGTATCATGTTTCAAGTTGAGTTGTTATGTTGAGTTTTGGTGAATTCGCAAAAAGAGAATTCATCGCTAAAGTTTCGCTATTTTATACGAGTGAACTCGCAAGGTTGGGGTATTTCCAACAAAACTACCTTTGTCTTTGTCTTTCCCTGCTCATATAAAGGTCGCTATCTCAAAGAAAAGAAAATGTTTTGGTAAGCTGAGATTTCTCTTCAGCTATCTGCCTAGGCATACTCTAAATGAACTATACAAGCTCTATGTTCGATCCCTTTTAGATTACGGCAATGTTTCATACCACATTCCACCAAAAGTATGTGACTTTACCACCAAAAGCGGTAACACCTTATCAAATTTAATAGAGAAGCTAGAGTCTGTCCAATACAACGCTGCCTTAGCTGTAACAGGAGCCTGGAGGGGAACGTCCCGAGAAAAGCTGTACCTTGACCTTGGGTGGGAATCTCTAAACCTCCGCAGATTGAGCAGACGCAAATCAATCCGAACAAGTTTCATGCGGATAAAATTTATCCGGCACAGTGTAAACTGGCTCTTATAAAGTCATAAACAATTTAACCCTTGACTACACAAAGGACCCATTGCCACCACTTCAACAGATGCAATATTCACTTCGCGAACGTGACACAATCGGGCAAATACGAGCAAGGTCTGAAAAATATAAATCTAGTTTTTATCCTCACTACTTGTCCGAGTGGAACAAACTTGATCCTGAAATTAGATTGTGACCTTTTGTTGCTGTTTTCAAGACAAATATACTTTATAAGATCCGCCCCCCTACAAAATCAGTATTTGGGATTCATGACCCGAAGGGCCTGTCTCATCTTACTCAACTCAGGGTTGGCCTCAGCAAGTTAAACTTTCACAAATTTCAACACAACTTTAGAGATACAATAAACCCAATGTGCCCAGGTAACGATGGAATCGAGGATACGGAGCACTTCTTGTTGCTCTGCCCCTCTTTTGGTGTTCAAAGGACTGATCTCCTCGCTGGAATATGTACTCTTGTACGACCATATGGATATGCAAATCTTGCAAATGATGTTGTGTTGCAAATCTTATTGTGCAGCGATAAGAATTTTCCAAACCATCTCAATAGAAACATTCTTGAGTTAACAGTACGTTTTAAACAAGTTATATATGAGGTGTGATCTGTGATATTGCAAAATTACTTAAACTGCAGCAAACATCTTGTCTGCTGCTATTCGCTAATATTTTCGCCAGACATCTAATTTCAGAAAAAATGTAGTGTTCTTTGTTTTTTTCTTTCTTTGGTAATTCGTACGTAGTTTTTCGTGATGCCACGGAGTAGTCAAAGTATTTTGCACCCAGTGGCATTGTCCTTGTAATGTCGTTAAGTATTTTGTGGGTAGTGTAACTAGTAAATTTGTATTGTAAATTTTTATTGGAATGTAAAAAAAAATAAAAAATCTCTGGAAGTAAATTTGGCAAGCTACATTTGGGGGAGAGCGGTCGTAAGACTACGGTCGAAGACTAAGAGGCGCCACAGCTGTGTGCTGAGCAAAAAATGGCAACACACCTCCAGAGAAGTTCACGTTCAAGCCAGAAGATTGGTCGAAATGGATCAGGAGATTTGAACGCTTCAGACTGGGGTCTTAGCTGAACAAAAAAGATGAAGAAAATCAAGTGAATACGCTTATCTACACTACGGGAGACGAAGCAGATGACATTTTGCAGCCTTTTGGAATGAGCGAGGCTGACAACAAGAAGTATTCCGCGGTTAAACAAAAGTTTAAGGGGCACTTTATTATAAAGCGCAACGTGATATTTGAATGTACTTGCTTCATTATGCGCGTTCAATGTGAAGGTGAGTCAGTTGATAATTTTATAACTGATTTATATACCCTTGCTGAATTTCGCAATTTTGACACACTCCACGATGAATTAGTCTGAGAAAGAACTGTTGTTGGAAAAAGAGACCAAGTTTTATCAGAACGACTACAACTGGAGGCCGATTTGACGTTATCGAAAGCTATAAACTTGGTTCGACAGAAAGAAGTTGTTCGAAAGCAACAAAATTTAATTTCAAGTTCAGTTTTTACAGGATCAAACGTTGATGTGCTTAATGACAAAAGGCAAGCGAGGCCGAGACAAGAACAGCAGAATTAGTTAAGAAAAGAAAAACAAGCAACCGCAACCCCGAGGGAAGTTCTTCTGAAGTGAGGCAAAAAGAAATGTGATAAATGCTTTGGTCCTCTTCACAAAAGAATCCACTGTGATGATATATTTATGGGTGAAGTTTGCATCAATTCAGTGCATAGTAACACTCATGATATGCCTTGGCAGGCTGAGGTTTGCTTGAACCGTGTAATCGGCTGACATTTATGCTAGATTTGGGGGCAGATGTCTTTATGATTCCTCATTCGTTATTTGAAAAGCTAGCCAAAAAGGAAATTCTTGAATTGGAGCCTACAAATAAAGTATTATTAGGCCCTTGTAATAATAAAATCAAATGTTCAGGAAAATTTACACGAAAATGGAGTGTAAACAATGAAATGCTAAATGAAGAGAAAAAGATCTTCAAACACCTTTGTTAGGAAAAATAGCTAATTCCAAATTGAATTTAATTCAAAAGGTTGATCACATAAACGAAGTTGGAGAAAATTATACCAAAAGGGTTCTTAAAGGGGCTGTGTCACGGTTTTGTAAACAAACCAAATACACGGGACATTGCGCGTTTTTAGCTTGACTTGCACATCGGGATAATGGCGGATGGTGCTCCGGTGCATCGATAAGCTCTATTAATTGTATTTTCTGAGCGTATTTACCAAACTTGGAATGGATATTTGCTATATTTCAGCATATGTACCGACAATCGAAACAATAAGTGTAATGTTAATTTGGTCTAGGCTAAGGAAGTGAAGCTTCATTCAATCATGACGAAGATATTCCGTTTGTCTTGGTGAATTCAGATGGAATTAGACATTCTACAACAAAATGATTGCTTAAAATTTGTCCAGCAAACTTTAATAATGTTTCTCGCTTATAATATTCATCGGTAAGGTAGGTTTTTTGGTGTCATTTCGGCCAATTTCTATAAACAGTTCCCTGCCAGTTGCGGTATCCTAGCCATAAGAGTGGCCTTTGTTTTTTTGTATCGTCATCGTTTATCCAAAGAAATATGGTGATAAAAGTGAAGTAGGAGCCTTCATTATTCGTTTCCTTCCATAAAACATCCAGAAATGCCAAAGGTTCCCACGATGGGCACGGATACAAAAACTGTTTCCTATTGATCGCAGGTTTTTTCACCCAAACAACTTTCGCAAACTAGCGTGTTGCCACGCGGGATGTACCTTGTGACACAGCCCCTTTAATGAAGCCTTTCACCGATACTGTTCTGAGCCAAGAACAGAGATAATTCAACTACCGACTGAGTCGGGCCAGAATGGTGGTTTAGGGAACTTATGGGCAGTTGTAGGGGCATTGGCGATTGTTGTTGAGAAAATCGGAGGCAAATCTCTTTCAAACAAAAATGGCAACAATTTCTTTCATGGTACTACACAACATCTTTATTGAAAAGAATGATACTATTCCATCAAAGCTTGATTTGTCTGTTGATTCTTCAACACAACAAAAGCGATAAAGAGCAACAATACGCAATGTTTTGTTAATGAAAGCTTCTCACAAGATTGTTGATCTAAGAAAGAATGAAGCAAATAAAGCCAGAACAACCATTAAGGTGAGTTTGCATAAAAAACTACAGACCCTTTATGGCAACCAAACATTAAGTGCTAATTAGACACTTTATTGTGATTAACAGAAGAACAAATAACTTTTTTAAACACGCGAATTACTAACAAAACTATTACGCAAGCTGGATGATAGAAATTATTAATATCTTTTTACTATGTTTCTACTTAATTAAAACTGTTTTATGCATTATAATTCTATTGAAGAAAAATTATGCGAACAATCTTATCAGAAGCATTAAACCTGTTATTCACTCTACTAACCCCAGCTAAACCCACTATTCAGGCACTCCCATAATATAAAGATTTTAGTAAAACAGCAACAAAGGACTGCATTTCAAAACCTAACTTTAAGATTGAGAAATACAAAAGGAAAATTATAAAAAAAGAGCTGTAGCTACAAGCTCAACAAATAGGGAGCTGTACAGCAATCTGATTGTTGGCAAGATCAAATTCATATAAGGGGTTTTTGAGAAAAAATTTAAGTTTTACCAAACCTGTACTGTGTATTCAGAACTTTTACAAATTTTGTTGAGACTTTGTTATTTAATCACTAAAGACTTTGAATTATTTGTAAATATGCTAATCTTGCTAATGTTCAGACATGACCATTATTTTTTAATGTCTAATGATTTACTGTGATAACTTTAAAATTGATAGTAAGAAGAATAGTTGTCCATATGTTGTTGACCCTGAATATTACCAGAGCTAGCTTGCTGTGGTGGGTTTTGCGCATTTATCAAATGTTGTACAAGTTCCAGTTCGTGCTGTCTAGATTTTTCTGCTTCTTCTCTAGCAAGGGACAAAATTCACTCATTCCATTTTGCCTTTCTAACTGGCTTCCTCCTTCTTTCGCCTTCCTTGCTTTTGAAGATATTCAACATTTCATCATCATCTCCATTTGCCAGACTATCATCATCACTTTCATTTTCAAGGGTTCTGGCGTCTATCCTGAAAGTGAAAAAAATAAATTATCATCAAAACATCCTTAATGCCAGTATCTACTGTTAATCCAGCTTTATTGTTAGTTTTACTGAAATTCACGTTTATAATGGTATAAGAATACTATAAATTATGTCCAGGCTTGAAGTTCTTAAAGGAGAACTGACACGCAAAAATAACTTTAGTTTATTCGATGCAAAATTTGTCGCTGACTTCAAATCTGGAAAAAGTTTTCTTCTAGGATTCGCCGTTTTTCTGATATTTGCACTTTTATCCGTCAATTACGTCACAGCCAGGACTCGGAAATTTCCCGAAGCGGAAACAAGATTATCGCCAGGAGTTGTTAAAATTCTCGGTTGACGTCACAAGTGACATGTTAACAATGCCGTTGTAAAGGCTTTGACCGCAACGGTGAAAGTACAAATGAAGTTTCGTGTATAAGTATAAAGAAGCTAGAAAGTCCTAGCTACATGTCTGATAAGACGCTAATATCCACATAAAATTTATTTTTATGCCATGATATCTTCCAAGCAGCATGCTTCGAAACATTGAAAGAACCTCAAAGCTTGTGAAAAAAGGAGTCGACTTTGTTTGAAAACTGATACCGTTTCTTCAAAGTTTTTATTTTTACAATTACAAATAAAACCGCAACATAGGGGTGGGGGGATGGGGGGGGTGGGGTTGAAGCAATAGCCAAAAGACAAACGAAATTCAGTGGAGACAGCGGTAAAAACGATCCTGCAACCTGCTTTGGGTGCAGAAATATGAATTCAAGAAAAACCTTGGTTGATGGGAGCTGCGAGTGTGACTAAAAAATAATTTCACTGAACGTGATTGTTGTATTTTAACAGAGGTTGAGATACTAGTCTTGCAAAAAGACCATCCCCCACCCAAGTCAAAATTGCTTGCAAGAGAAGAGAATGTGCCAGTTGATAATCCTATGACAATGGCTTTGAAAAAAGCAAACATTTTACAACATACTTAAAGCTTTTTCGTCTGACACTCCTCAGAGCATAAAACGTCAGAATAGGTTCCGAAAAAACACGTTTGAAAAATATATACCCAGTTGTGGATCGAAAAAGGCCAATCAGAAAAACGCAAGCACAAGACCGGTATAGTTGACCAATCAGTGCCGCGAGCCTAAAGAAAAATTACCAATGGAGTCCAAGAGAGAAAACGATCTCCTTTTGTCTACACAATGGCGGCTTTTTCGTTTTTATGTAGATTGACTCCAAAACTGCTAGATGGAAGGACGACCGGGCTCTGCCAATTATCCGAAACATGTCGTCATTATAGAGTTTTGCACAATCTGGGTTGTCTAAAAGATGTTGACCAATGGCAGAATCACTTGTTTTAACAGTGTTTCTAGACCTACAAGATCGAGGAGGCTGTTCTCTTTGAGGGGCAGTTTTGTTTCGTATGTTGGAAGGAACATGCTGTTTTATTCTATCCCCCAATCTTTGGGTTGTGCGCCCTACGTAGCCAGAATCACACTGGCACGTAAATTCATAAATGACGGAACTTTTTTGTTTGGTAGGGACGCAATCCTTTTGAATGGATGGAAGGGCTCTCCTAGTGCTGTAAACAATCCGAGGATTGACAGCAAAGAAACAATTGGTTATGGCTTGCCTAATTTGACTCTCGAATCGCAAGGAAGTGTTACCAATCCATGGTAGTTTCAAATAAACTGGGCACTTTTGCGGACCAAACTTTTGAACAGCCGAAAAACTTGCGATCTTCTCCTTAGTATGAGATAAAATGACGTCTTCAGGATAGCCGTTGTCCAAGAAGATCGTTTTGAGTTTTTCCAGTTCAGCGTGCAGTTTAGATTTCGAGCAGATCATAAGTGCCCTATGTACTAATGTTTTGACAAGGTTGACTTTGCGTTGTTTTGGGCAAAATGAATTCCAGCGTATGTACTGACCGGTAAAAGTAGGCTTGCGATATACACTGGTAAGAAATCCAGTGTTAGACTTTTCGACCAAAACATCTAAAAATGGTAAGGAATCATTTTCTTCCTTTTCAAACGTAAACTGGAGGGCTAGGTGTAGGCTATTTAGGTGTTCCTATGACAGCTAAACAGAATTTTCTTCGACTAAGAAATCAAGTTTTTTGACTAAGAGGTAAGAGCCTATTTCGTAAATCCAGATTTTTCGACTGCCAGGTAACTTATCAGTTCCCGAAACCTTCACGTCCGGTGAAAATGGCATATAATCCGCACAAGTCGACTTTTAACCCGCCTTTACTATTTAATATCACTATACAGTTAACTCGTTTGAAACATTGAAAAATTCAGCGCCTCAATCTCAAATGAAATTCTAGCTTTATGATACCTGATCTCATTTAGATTGTAGCAATAGCATTGTTTTTAACAGAAATTCCATATCAGTTCGTACTTCCAGTCTGTTCTTTGTTCATAACATCGTCACTGTTGAGCCATGGGATGACTGTCTGCCCAAGCGGCAGCGCTGGCTGGTAGCAAAAACTCAGACGGCTTAAACTCTCCATTTGTCTCGAAATCAGTGTAATAAAACTCGGACTCAGAGTCCCAAACCATTGAAAAAGTCAATTATGTGTCATAAATGCTTGTCCGCAGCATTTTGTTAAAGGTTTCTATAGAGAAACACAATGCGTGCTGAGAACATGTCACTTGTGACGTCAAAGATGATCGCCCACTCGTGACGATTTTCGCCTCGAGTCTCAAGTTGTCGGAACAATTGTCGTTTCTCAACTTAAAACGCCTGTATTTCAAAAACGGTAACTGTGATTTAAAAAAATTTTTCGATCCCGGAATTTGCTTGTCACAAACTACCGTTTTAGCCAAAGTTATTTTTGTGTGTCAGTTCTCCTTTAAGAAATTCCCTAGTCTTAACATTTTCTTTAATCATTGCTGTTATTTCGGATCAAGTATGGTTTCAGCTAGAAACGGCACTTTCATATAAAATGTGTCAGTTGTGGCCGAGCAATATTCTTATGACTTTCTCAAAAATTGGTTGATCCTGAGCTTGAATATTCTTAGAAACTATTTTCTTATTTCTCCAATACAAAACCAAAGCCGAGTTTCCTTTAAAAATCATATTAATGGGCATAATATTTTTGGATCTGTTGTCTCTGGCTTTCTTCAATATGTTGATTTAACGCTGCTTTATAACAATTGTCAGTCAATGTGTAGTATTTACACTTAAACCACAGACCTGGATGATATTTTCGTGGCTTTTTTGTCCGGTATGTTGTTTTCTATGCCTGCTTCGTTGGAACATTCGCCACAATAGCTAACGCCTGTCCCGGACCACCATCCTGGAGTCTCGTCATTCTCTTCTGCAAAACTACATGCGTTACATAAAGGAATTTTGCAACTTTCGTACAACTGAAACAGAAGTCGGTTTTTGAGTGACACAAAGCCATTTTTTGCTGTTTTGTTATTGGCGCCAAATGATGAAAAATCTTCCCTAAGTATGCACTGCTTCGTTTAAGCAGAAAATAAATTACTTTTACAATGTTCGTAATTTATGCATTAGGCTCGGTGCATCAGAGTCGCTCCAGAGTCGCGTAAGCGATAGGTTCAGTCGCTCTAACTGCATTCTGCTGCACTCAATCAAATCAGTCGAATTCAATCCATTTAAATGTCGCTCTTCTCATGCGCCTAATTCAAGGAATAGGCCCGGCTAATGAGAAGTTTGACTTTTAACCTAAGCGTAAGTCAGTTCTTATCATCAATATCAAATCAATATCATCATTATACAATCATCTTCTAAGATAAATTTCTCAAGAGTGATATTATAAAGTTTCTAGCAACAATAAGATATGTGATTACCGAAGCAGCAGGGCTGCGAGTTTTAAAGCAACAAAATATAGAAAAAACATAAAAAACTACGTTTGATACACTTGCTGCCGGATTGTCCAGGGAGGTAAAAGTTGATTAAGGTGTTATGAATACCAAGTGATGATGACCACTAAGTCTGTTTCAAACAGGCGCCTTTTACTTGCAAGCATAAGATCATTGCATCGCCTCTTGGTTGTTGTGTTATGTTCATTGTCAATTTAATATTCATTTCCACAGGTGCGTGCGGCACACTGCTCATGTTTCATACTTTAATATGTTTTCCTATTTATGCGAGAACTGTTTTTATCAAGAGAGTTGGTTGATTAGTGAAAATTCTTTCATTTCTGGCTATTCTACCTCAACATTTTTGTCGGTTTATGCCTTTAGACTAAAGAAAACGTAAATCTTGCCCAAAACATTAATCACGTTATCTTTGTCCTCTATATTGAAGCTCCCTAGACGTCAGACATTTTCACGCGAGGAACGAAACTTATTAATGATTACCAAAGCTTCTAGTATATCTGAATTGTAGTAGGAATAAACTGAATGCGTTTTTTCATATTTCCTAGTTTGACAAATAGTTCGAAAAATTGAAAGACTTCAAGCAAAAAAAGATACCTGACAAAGAAATCATAAAACATGTCAGCAAAACTGCAGGAGTAGATCATTAGGCCGAACATAATCAATTAAGCATGGAAATTCATTTCACATGAACAATGAATTACCTGCGCGTCGTTACGGCTTTGATTTCTCTTAATTTATCAATTAATTTTCACAAAATAATCTTTCTTTAAAAAAGAAGAAATTTGGGCCACAAGGCTATCTAATATTGCTTTTAAGTAAGTACATTGTAAACATTTTGACTGCTTTAACAAAGCCAAAGGGAATTGGCAGAAAGTTGTATTTTGTTCTTCGTACAAGACCTATTATCGGTAATTTGAGAAAATCAAGCAACAGTTAACTTTAAAACTTTTTTACTGCCTGCCTAAGAGCTTTGAACAACACGTTTTGTTTCATCTATGCTAAAGAGTACATTTTATATTATTTGTTGTTGTAAGCATGTGTCAATTTGTGTCGAAGAACGTTTGCCTTTTGATTTTAAATAAAAAATGCTTCGATGATTATTTCTATTGCTTTCTAGAATTTCCAGAACATCGGCACCAATATGTTAAGGGTTGTTTTGTTTTTTGTGATTATGGCTGTACACTCTGAAGGTAAGGATAAATATTTCCATTCATATTTCTTGACAAAGCTTTAGATTTAGCCAGAGTCAATTGATAGTTTATGTAGACGAACTTGCACGTAAGTTCGGGCGTAAAACAGTTTTGTTTTGCTGCGGCTTTTTGTCTCCGCAACATATCAATTACTGATATTGCCACTATTGTCATATTCCTCAAGAGCATTATGTTTGCTTTGGCCTCGATAGGGTAGCTCTGTCAATATGATTCTACTTGACGGCAGTAAATTTCATGGTGTGTCCAAAACGACTGTCCTTACTTGCCACTCTAAGTTTAGCTAGCGGTGAAGACACTGCTGTTATATTTATCCAATGTCATAAACATAAAATACTTTGAAAACATTTTTGACGTATATGATGAATAGAAAAAGGCAAATCATCTCAAAAAGTTTATTCGAAAATAAAATGCTGGCAATCTGTTACAAAGAAAGTACAATGTTCATTCTTTACAACATCAAACACATTTCATCAAACCAATAGCAACAAAATAGGGATTCATAAAAAGAATGGTAAGAACATGGCAAATGAAAATGAAAAATATCGTGCTGTGAAGAAGTATTTCAGGAAAGAAGTCTATAACGAAAATTAAATTGAGGTTGAGCATCTCCAAAGGGAAAGTAGGACCATAAAACCAGAAAAAAGCAAAAGATGATGTCAATAAAGCCGCGATGAAAATCAGTAACAATAAAGCAGTCTTAAAGAAAGAATAGCAAATGAGCTGATAAGTTAGTCAAAATGAACTACACCAAGAGATAGCAAACAAACTGAATGAAATATTTGAAATCCATAAAAATCAATCTAACACAGATGAATCAGTTCTTCTACCAATACCAAAGCCAAACAAACATAGGGGTCTGTTGTAGAATTCGCCGCCAATTAATCTGCAAAATACAATGAGAAAAAATTCTATCTAACATGACACAGAACACATAACAATCAATCACCCTACATGAGAGGACGATCCACGTCTGATATTGTTGGACACGTAGATTCATAGCTGGCAAGGCGTAAATAAACAAATAAATTACAAGTTGATTATTATGTGAATCGATATAAGCAGCGCCATTGATACAAAACAACAAAAGCCTTTGGTGAATGTATTGGAAACAACTCTAAAAGAAGATGAACAAAGGATGAGTCGCATTTTCTTGGAAGAGTCGTGCGCATCAACCTCCATAAAGTTTGGAAAACATATAAAAAAAGTGGAAACAAAAATAGGATCCCTAAAAGATGATGGAATTTCGGAAATTTCTTTCAACATAGCTCTGATTTTTTATAAACATTCTCAATTGAAAAAGAAGGACAGAAAATATACCAAGAATAAAAAAACAAACAAATTTATGCTGATGATGGTGACTTCTTGTCCAAAGAAAACTCCCGTTCTAAAGTATTGAAAGAAATTGTAAAAGACTACCTTGGAATATTTAACTTGAAAGTAAATGAAGAAAAAACAGAAGAAATGCTTTCTGGATCAGCCACTGAGCAGTGAAATGAAAGAAACAAGAAAGAGAACTACTGTCATTTATTGTGCTTAACAACAAGCACACCATATGAACAATCTTTGAATTACTGGTTTGAATCTCCACCTAAAAAAAGATATACCGTGAAAGAAAAAAAAACCCTGCCTATATTTCTTGACAAAGACATCGTAGAAGCAGCAAAATACCATCAACGATTGCAAATAAGACAATTTAAAACATGAGAGGACTTTAACATCCTTAGACATCTCGCGAACGAACTGCATAGATTCATAGACTACTAATTTTATCTGTAGTGTCGCACAAGGTGAACAATGGTAAGCCCAATGCGCAGAAAGGAAAAGAGAGAGGATCTTTAGGGTATAACAAGTCAAAATATGAACCCAAGCGTTTAAGTTAGGAAACATATATGCTAAATTGTGAATCAAGAAACGCCAATCAGAAACAGGAGTGGCGAAACAGGAATGGGGCTTAAGCCCCCAAACAATACTTGTTAACCTCAACGTTGGCAGCTGTTGTAGAGACAACATTCTGATCCAGAGATAGCATAAATTGACGTTTTCCGTTTTTACAATAGCACAAGAAATCCCTTTACAATTTAAGTGACCATAGCTTCACGAGCGATAAACTAACTAACTCACTTAACTGTCGTGGCAAGTGCATTGTATACCGAAACACTGGAAGGTGTCAACGCTGTGGCTAACGGGAAGATAACTGGGTCCAAACCAATACCCTGGGCTTCTAGTAATTACAACAGCAGCTAGTCTACTATGTAGGTACGTAGTTACGTAGCCTGTCGCCATGTCTGAAGAAAAATGGTACTGTTATGATGCTATATTAGGTTTTCAGAATTTAACTATTTGATGAAACAAGGTGCTTAGAGCTCCCAAAGCCAGTTACACATAAGGTGCCTCGATGCAGGAGCACCGAGCCTTAAAATTCGTTTATTTGTAGCATAGTCAATAGAATAGTGACTGGTCTGGAAGCCTATTGTTATACGCTTTTGTTTGCGCGTGGATGTTGATTCACTCTGAGATTGGTGGTCACGTGCCGAAGAGAGTGCAAACAATTTCGAACATGGCGGACGCAAACACCCCGGTTGCTAGCAATAATTTACACTTCGAAGAAACACTAGAGCTTGCTCTCGACATTTTGATAGATGACGAAGATTTTGGATCTGTATATGATGAAGAAGTGCTTTCGGTGGTAAAAGAGGTGAGTGAAAGTTGTAAGGACACGTTTTTCTTTTCCATGTTTGTTTTATTAGATTACTTCAATGACCAACTCGGCAAGATTTTGTTGTAATGAAAACTTTCATTTTAGAAGCATAAAATGTGTGTTTGAAGTTTTAAAACAGTGTTGTTTCTTTAGATTTCGCATGACGGCTCACTAGCTTGTGAAAATTGCAGCAAGAAATACAAGACCGAAGCGGGCCTAAGAAGGCACATAAAATCGAAACACGTATCCCACAAGCAGACCAGACAATTCAGTGGTGAAGACATCGTTAAGTTGGTCAATGAAGCCAAGAATGAACTTGCAACTGATAAATGCTATCCAGTTGAACTTTGCAATGCTATTAAAATGTTTGTGTTTGACAAAGAAAGTGAAAACCTAAGAACGGAATTGTTGAAACATTGCAGCAGACTTTGGAAAAATTCAGATGCTGAGAAATTTTATTCTGAGTATTATGGTTCAGTTGTGATGAATGCTGAAAAGTTTTTCCCAAATTTACCCTTTCCTGGGTGCACACTGGTTGCAACTAAACTAGCAGACAAGATTGTCTCCCATTTCAAGACACCAGCAAAGCAAATAGCAGTCCCAAAGAAAATCACTGAACAGGAGATGTTCAGTTTACAATATCTGGCAGGATATGTTGTGCATTCTGTTGTTAAGAAACTGCACCAAGTCTCAAACGGCCAAAAATCAAAAAGCTCTATAGCTATGTTAACATTTTTGAATTCATTGAGACTGGAAGATATTTCAGCTCAACAGCAAATACAATGCCAAACAAGAGGAGGTTTATGGGGAGTGAACAATGATTGTGTTAGGTTTTTCAGCTATGTAGAAGAAGAGTTCCGCAAGGCAACAGAATCTGGACACAGCACCAAGATCAACTGCAACAAGCTGACAGAAATCTTAGTTGAGAGAGTTGATGTGGTCAGTTCTTTCAGTGCCATGGAGGAAGGATCCCTGTGTGAAATGGACAAAGAGACAAAGAAGAATCTCCTTGAAAAACTTATTCAGCTGTACTTGCGAGTTAGGGCATTTTCATTTGCAAAAACCAACACACAACTTCATTGCAAAAAATCCAAAGCATTATGTAAATCTTTGAAATTACAGGGGTTGTAATAACTTCTAATCCAATATAATTTAATAACTTTTAATGCACTCCACTTTACATACATTCAATTAGAAAAAAATAGATCTCCAAAGGGCAATCATCAAATTATGATTTTTGTCAAAACATGTGATCCCTTGCACAGTTTTAAAGCACCAAAACATAATTGCAATGGCAGCCTTTGTCACTTGTGCAGTTTAAATACTTGGCGAAAGAGAATTTTAGTTACCTAATATGCCAAAAACTATTCAGTTGAAATAAGCCTAAATGTAGCTCCTTGAAGGAAATTTGCCAATGCTGTTACTGCAAAGTGTTTTGCAGGAAAATATATTTGTGTATCAAGATGCTTAAATGTTCAATGTTTTATATGTTACTTAGAATATTAATGTTATCTTATAATTCTCTTGGAGCCAAGTTTCATGTTGCAATGATAGGGGCAGGTCAAAGCAGAGAGAATTTTGAAATTATATCATTTTAAAATCAAATTGTTTCAGAAAATCTGATGATATGTGGTTTTTCAGAGCAATTCCCAACAAAATCTTTTAACAGTAAAAACTACATTATCTATTACTGGTGTATGTTAAACAAGACTAGTTGCATTTAACTGTGGTTTTGTTTTTTTGTTAATTTAAGTGTCATCATCTAGCTGGACTTACGTTTTCTTTTAGCTAATTTTGTTTCATCTACAATTGACCATGAGACTTGTCTTTTTTGGATATGTCCTCCTCTTGTGTTTCCTTTAACAGGTACAATTGACCTTTGTATTCTGATGGTGTTATCATTGTACCCCAACATTCGCATATCAGGATTGTCACTACGACGACCCAGAGAGCGTTGTCTACTGAAATATTCTTCAACAACATCTTGGTTAAAGCGGCTGCTGAGAACAAAATTCATTCCACTGGTTAAAAGGAACCTAGTGGCTTCAATGACTGAATACACAGTGATCTGCAAGCCTTCATATGTTTGCCAAGACAGAAACATTTTGTCCCTTGCGCTTCCACTGAAATTGCCATCTCTGGACATGGTGCTTGCTTTCCAATCTGACAAGTATTTCAAAAATACATTTTCAAGCCAGTGAAACCGCTCATCATTTAAACTGGTGTAAGGCTGTAGGAACTCCTTCCGCTTAAATTGACCTTCCTTAGTGCTTCGGACATTGAGTGCATCAAAGAACATGTCCATCATTTTGCAAAATTCTGCCGTCCCATGTGTGTCACTGTCATAAAATTGTTTAAGTGTGTTTGCTGTAGTTGCACTCAAAACTTGTGCAGCTAATGACACATTCATTACCCCAAAGGAGGTTAGCTGTGTGTGTGAACTTGACAACTTTGGACAAAGCTTCAAACCTTTGTCCATATCATCATTTACCAACTGGCATATGTGTTGCCAAAGAAGGTACTTTCCATTGTTCCACATGTAACGTGTAGATTTTCCTGTGCCAGAATGATACAGGCAGTTACGGGCGGTCTTGAGGAGGTGTGGGGCATCAGCAAAAAACCATAGAAATCGTTTGGGTGCAAAAATATTGATGGATCGATAAACCACTGGTTTCCCAGGGGTTTGGTCCATAGTGGCATGCATGCGGAAAAATTTTCTGTTTGGAGAAGCTCCATCTGATACTGAGGCAATTACTGGTAGCTTGCAGGCTAATTCCAAAACAGAAACAGCTTTCCAGAAAATAGGCATGAGCTGGTATGAGACTACACCACTTGTAGCAAAATATGCCAGGTTGTATTTGAGGTCAGATGCAAGGCCTCTGACATAAAATACCAAGGCATGAGTAGCTAGGTTATCTTGCTTCTCAACTGTGGCAAAATTGATCTCTGGATCACCAAGGTCCACATAACCAATCAGTTTTCCAGTATGTTTATCAAATACTAACTTTGACTGCACTTTCATTTCGTCAAAACCCAGAACCACATACCTTTGAACCCCTTCAAGATTACGTGTTATTCTGTTAAGCTCGTCTATCACCCTAGGATTGAATCCTGCTGTAGGAGTAATTGCATTCCTATAGTCTCGCAAAGTCCTCCTACTTGGCAAGGTCAGCACATTTGAATCCCTCAATTCATCATAGGCTGATGCTGATTTTGCTGCCAAGGACAGACAAAATCTTATTATCATTGGGTGATAGCGAATAGCATTGCTCTTACACTTGAAAGCTTCTTGTTGCTGCTCCCAAAAAAGCTTCATAAATGGTGAAAGCTTTGTCCCAGCATCTGACATAATAAGCTTCACATCTTGGTCCAATTCAGAATCAATTGACAAACTGTTTGATTCTATTGACAGCCTCATTTCATCAATTTGTTTTTGCAATTGACTGCATTTAAGTCTATGTTGCTGAAGGGTTAATTTGAGACGGCTTGGGTGAGTGATGGATACCGGAGCTTTAGCCTTTGCAGGGATACACAACTTAGTTGTTTTTTTGTCCAATACTTTGGTAAGCTTCCTTTCAACTGTTGAACATATCTTGCATTGGTCTGAAGATTCATTCAGAATGAAGCAATCTTTTGGCCTGTTGTATATGACTGTGTTCACTGGAATGTTGAATTTTTCTTGCAAACTGACTTTGTAAGGAATAGCATGAACCTGTAACTCGCTTGAAGGCTTTGCAATGCCTCCACATATCTTATGCTGCTCAATCTTTCGAATCAGCTCTGAGACAGTAATATTTTTTAGATTTTGGTCAGATTCAGTGTAAATTGGATGACTTTGTGGCAGCAGCCAACCATAGATGAATAATGTGTATGTCAAATTGTTGCCAATTACCAATTCAAATTTTGGAATCATACATTCTTCTTCAAAGAGCTTTAGTCTCAGCTGGTTACTCACTGACTCTTGTTGCCAAGCTGGAATCTTAAGTTTAGCAGCCCTTTTTACTACTTCTTCCAAACTCTGGTACAAATCAGTTTTTGCCTGTTCCACCACTCGGTCTTGAACTACACTCGTGTGTTTTCTTTCTTTGATGGGCTTTGATGGGTGGGACTTCTCTGGCAAGTTCTCTGTGGGTATAGCACCAAACCGGAGCACTTTCCTGCCAGTGTCTAATGGATTAAAAAGAATTTAACTTATTTTTTAGCCTACAAATAATGTGTTTTCTGTTTACATGAATTAAATACAGCAGAATCTAGCAAGTCTTTAGGAGATCAAATCCCACAATATAAGAGAATTACAAATAGTCATAAAAACCATCAAAATCTTCTTAAAAAACTTTTTGGGAAACAGAAAGACTTTCTCTTGAAAAAATTAAATAACTAAGCTTATCGTTACGTCGTATATATGGATAACTTACAAATTTTTTCAGTGGAAAATGATTTGAAAAATTAAATTGCTACGATCTAGTTTGGCCTTAGCAAAGCAGACGGGTTGTGCATTGGTTTTTTGTCTAAGTAGAAGCGCCACACCAGACTTATTCTTAGTCACACCAGACTTACTTGTGAACTAAATATCCTCCAGTTTGTAGTGCCTCTCGCATGTCCATACATTTCCTGATGCCATCAACTGTTTGAAGTTGGAATCTTCTTCGCGGTACTTGGTTAATACATCAAACACAGCCTTCCTCCACAAAACATATCGCTCACTTGATCGCGTGCTGACTTGAAAAATCCCTAAACCACTATACTTTGCTGTCCTGCTGGCACCACGTTGTGGAAAAGCACAATTCGCTCCCGGCATATCTTCGATTTTATGAAATATTAATTCATCACTCCCTTCTCGTCTCGATCAATTTCAAAAATGTGTACGCTGTTTCACTACGCGTTGCTATGTGCCCTGTGCGTTGCCTTGCACCCACATCGGCACGTGACCTGTGCGTTTTTGAACAATAAGATAATACAATAGGCTTCCAGACCAGTCACTATTCTATTGACTATGTTTGTAGCAACAAATATTTAAGAGATGCAATGCACCTCTTCATTGTCAGAGCCGTTTAGAGACAATAGAAAGGAGTGCTCATTCAAAATTTGATTTCCATCAAACGTTTTTTAAAACATCTCTTTTGTTCTCATGTTTTGCGTTGGTTAGGTCACCACTTAAAACATTTACTTTACGCACACAAGCGAAGTAGGTCTAAATTGGGCAAATGCAACGCAGTAACTGTGCGGCAGCGCTTGATCATAACAAATGTTTTAACAATTGTTTGATTCGTTGGTAAAGAAATGTATTGTAATGTTTCACGGGTATTTAATTCGTTTGGCCTGGCCTTGATAAATATTTTTTGTTCAACTCATTTATTGATTTTTTCTAGCTACAGTGACAAATTATTTAGCTTTCAATTAATTTTCAAAAACGCATGCAATGTTCGGACTCATTGAAAAGGGAGCCTTGTCTATGCTTGGGTCGGGGGGCTCTAAAAATGTTAAAGCGGCTCTGGTCAACCCCATTTCTCTTGGTTTGTACTCAATCTCGTACCAAGTTATATTTTTGGGTTTGGAAACCTAAACTTTACAACTTGTACTGAAAGAAAAGTTTACACATTACATTCAACTAGGATGATGTTAAAGGTGCAATTGCATCAAAACTTTTTCACACGGTTTTACGATTTTAAGAGAAATAATGCACGGGTTTACGGATTTTGCAAAAACTTCAGGAGGTTTTACGGTTTTTTGGACCCTCCTCCCCAAAAATAATCCCTTCATTCTGCAAGCAGGCTACGAATTCCATGCTTTAAAACAACCGTTTTTTGTGTAATACGAATTTTCTGATCATTAGCGATGATTTTATTTTTTTGAATAACTTATGAGTATAACCATAGTGAACAAGGTTTGTAAAGCCTTTTTCTTTCTCCTTATTTGATTTCATCTGTTGTTTTAGAGCACCTTCGATGCGTTTTGAAGCCCACAATTCCCTTGCACAATTTCCAAAAGCAGCATTGTAGGCAAAAACTTTTGTTCGCAAACAGAATGTATCACCATAACCCGAAATACCAACATTAAACTTGTAGGAATCGCTTTTCTTCAAACTCCTTAGTTCAAGTGTAGTAGATATTGACCGCTAATAAGATTTAAAAACAATATTTAAAGATCAGACCGAGTGCACTAACTTCTTCTTGCTACAAATCAACAGCCAATAATAACAAGAAAATGATCGAAACACTTCATTTTCAATTCAACTACAAATTTAGAGCTATTATTCTAATCAAATTTGCATTTTGTTAGCTTGGTTTTACAAGAAAAAACTATAACATGAGTGAATTAAATAATCAGAATTGGTAAAGGGGGGAAAGAATTATACAACTACCATGAGTTAAAAGAGATGAAAGGTTGGATTTGTTCATTGGTTAATTTCTGGAGCAGAAAATATAATAGATGGCACAAATGAA